CTTGAAGCTCTTTAGGGCTGCTGCCATGGCCTAGCAGCACCTGAATCAAGCTGCAAAAATAGAGTGCAATGTTCATGTGTCTAGAGCTGGGTACAGGCAAGGCAAAGCTCCCCAATCACTGACCGGTTTCTGCAGGACCTAAGTGCCTTGTATGCTATTGGCAGTGGCCAGTTGGACACATGCCAGCCTACGTTAAATTCCTCTGAATACAGGGCTTTGCATGCTTTGTTTCTGGTTGTAGTGATTTTAGCTAAGAGAGACCTACAAAACAGGCCATCCAGGAGTGATCTGTGCACATGGCCGGAGGTAAGTTTGGAGCCAACAGAGGAGCGAAAATGGCAATGAGCCCGTCCAGAGTGACGATGCTGGCTTGGCTTTGCTAAGCAAACACGCATGGGTTAGGCTAATTGACTGCATGTTGCCAGAAATCAGGATTGATAAGGATTATTTTGTACTCCCTGTCTAGGTCGTTTTGAACATCATTACAGTGCTTCCCCTACCATTATATTAGGGGTTGCCCCCCCGCACCCTCCAACAACACCTCCCGCCCCTCCTTGAAGGTCGTTAATTTTATTTCATTTTATTTTCTATATAGCGCCAAATCACAACAGAAGTCATTTAAGGTTACCTTTCCTATAGAACAGGTCTATACATTGTCCTTTTATTAAACAAACTAAATAGCCTTATGTTATTTATCTTATTTACACAACAGCTTGTCATTTTTGTGTCTATACGGTCGCACGTTTACAATTCTCCTCTGCTCTCTGTATTGCGCATGGTGGAGTTCTGCCCCGATGCGCTCACAGACATGTGCGCACACACACAGAGAGCACGCCTCGGAAAATATGTCGCTTCAACCACCTAAAAAGCAGACAAAAAAATACTGCAGTGACAAACGCTGCACACTTTGTGGATAATTGTCATAAAAAGAAATGTTCTGATGTTTAGTTTAGTTGTTATATTGACTGCTGTCATTAAAAGAAACACATGAGCACCATGAATCCTGTCGTTGTCCGTCTGCCCCCCCCCCCCCCACCCCACCCCCCAAAGCTGGCTGTAAACCTAGGGGAAACACTGCATTAGATTCTTAAGCGATGTGGTGGGCAATAATCACAGAAACATGATTGTATTGCTGTCTTTATCAGATTAGGCATATTACAGTGGACTCTTAGTTGTCTTTGAAAAGCCAAACTTTGGTTTTGGTATAAATTAGAATAATCTATTAGCGTTTTATTAGGTTTTTAGGGTTTTTTTAGGGTGTAACATTTAAGCTGTAAGATGATTTTGCTTAAATCTGTTTGCAGAATTTCTATATTGTTTATATTGGTGCATATACACCAATGAATGAAAACATTATGACCATCCCCATGTAAAGCGAATAATATTGACTAACTGGTAAAAATGGTGCGTGTCAAGGTCTGGGATATATTAAATGGTACTTTCGGTAGTTGATTTGTTGAATGTAGACAAAATGGGCAAGGATAACGATCTGAGTGACTGATGTTGCCAAATCATTATGGTCAGATGACTGTGTCAGAGCATCTCCGAAACCAGCAAGGCTTGTGATGAGCTCACAGTCAGTCATGGTGAGTGTCTACTGAGAGTGGTCTGAGGAGGGAAAAACCATGAACCGCCAACAGGGTGTTGGACGATCTGGACTCCTTGATACGGGCTGTAATGTTTGGTACAAACCAATAGCCCTTCTGTTGGCTTGTACCACACGGGGTAGTCCTCATTCACATCTCACGGATGGATGAAAATTATGATTTATATTATGTTTGTGGGAGCTTAAATAGTTTGACCACGGTGATGCATTATTCCTTTCACTGGCTGGTGAGAAGAATCATTTTAAAATGTCACAATATCGGATTTCAGCATCTTATCCATTTTTTATTTAGATGCTTTTATCCAAAGTGATGCATAATTGCAAAACCATCGTCAGCCAGTCCCTGGAGCAATTGGCATTTAAAGGATTTTGATTAAGGGCCCAATGGTGAAATCACTCTGATAATATGGGGATTTGAACCAGTGACCTTCTGATCACTGGCACAGTCCTATCCAACAGAGCCATATACCATACCCTTGACTCCTTCAATCTTTGAGCTTGTGGCATGGATTAAGTTTTTTGAGGTGAGTAGACTTAGCTTTATTTGTTTAATTTTTTTTAGTTATTTTTTGCTAACATAACATAAAAATATCCTGCATGAAAGTGAATTATTATTCTGCCTGTTTATATTGGACCCTCAACACCACAAATTGGAGAAACATTAGCAAATCGAAGGCCAGGTTTTAGTCCAGCATAATATGCATTCAGAATCTACTTTCAGTTCACTATGTTTTCAAGATTAAAAATATTTAAACTTGCATGGTTTCAGAGAGAGATGAAACTAAGTTCATGCTAAATATATTATAAAGACTGAATCCCATGAAAAAATGCTATAAATATTTATGTTTTGTTCTGCGTAGCGTGTCATGTTTTTTGACAGAGACCTGATTGGCTCTCCTGATGTCTTTCTGGTGACATACAGTGGAGAACACAGTATACCAATAACTGGAAGTTAGTCTGAGTGTCGTCTCAACCACAATCACAGGTATACAGCTGCAGAAAGAATGAAGAGACCACTTTATATTTTTACACAAATCTGCATTTTAAAATCCTGGTTCAATAGGTCTGCCGGCAGAAGGCTACGCTGAACAGCAGGTTGCTTCCAGGTTCAAAACTACTAACAGAGCAGTGCACAAGAAGCCAGCCGGGTAAATTCTAATGCCAGAGATGACCATTAACTTATCCGACAGTTTCTTATGAATCCTCTGAAGACATCAAGTGACCTTCAAAAGGAATGGGAAACATTAAGTGCAGGTGTGAAGTGCACTGCTAGGACAGTTCATATCAGGCTCCTAGAAGCAGGACTGAAGTCCAATGAAACAAGGAAAAAGCTCTTTGTTAATGAGAAACAGAAAAGAACCAGGCTGCAGTTTTCAAAAAAAAAATATTATTCACAGACACACAGCCAGAAATTGACAAATGAGTCAAACAAAAAATTGTCCTGTGGTCTCTTAATTTTTTCTATGGGTGTATATGTGTAGTTTGAGGTGGTGTATTGCTCTGCCTGTAATCAGAAGGTCACCAGTTCAAATCCCAGGGTCAGCAGAGTGATTTTACTGTCTTTTCTCCAGAGCAAGACCCTTAGCCCCCAATTGCTCCCGAGACTGAGCCTGCTCTCTCGGGAAATGTATGTCACTTTGGATAAAGACACCTGCTAAATAGATAAAAAAGTAAAGTATCCAGAAGTAAAGGGGATTTTGTGCTGTATTTTGGTTAAGCTTAATTAAATGCCAAATTAAGGGTGTCATTTAGATTTCATTGAATATTGCTGGGTTATGAAAGACGCTGTATGTTAATAAAGATTAAAATGACTCATCCCGATGCCTTAAGTAATGCCCATGTTTCCTCTGACTGTCAGGGTTTTACAAAGAAGGCAAGTGATAAAACAATCAGATGGCTGTGAAATAGGAGTAGGGCTTTTGTTTAGCCTAATTGTGAGTTCAATTACAGAAGGAGCTTAAATATGGAACACAAAGTCCTTTATAAATATCACAATCTATTTCTATTCTCTGTGCTTAACAGTTTTACACATCTTACAAGGTCAGGAGTTTTAGATGAAAACAATTTTCTTTATAAAGGAAATGTTCACCCAGACCCGAAGTGTTCCTGCAGAGATTTCAGAGATCGGCATTTCACACAAGTGTCTCTTGGAAATTGTCATCTTCTCACCTCTCAGGGTTTGTAGTATTCTGTGGGTCTTCCATTCTGCACAAAACACATTAGGGAACAGTGCAGTTAGTCTGGGAAAAGTCGGATGTAGCACAGTTGAAAATGTGTTAAGACTGGACAAAAATGCCAAGTGAAAAGTACAGAGTCGTGGCAATTAAGTAATGTCTTTATAAATGTTGTATGTTCCCCAAACAACAAGTTCCTGTCTTTTTTGTTGAATGAAGTATTGCTTATTTCCAACAGAAAATGAGTGTCATTAATGAGTTGCTGAATTTAACTCTGGGATAAACAGTAATTTATATTTAATGTCTATCTGCCTGTCTTTAACTAACATTGTCTCACTTCCTATTTTACTGTATCTTTAAACTGCCTTAATTGACAGATTTAAAGCCCAGTAACACAGAATGAATTTCCTTTTATAAGCAGAGTACAAGGCACGAGAGGTCATGTTTTACTTTGTAAAATCACTACGAACGGTAGCTGTAGTCTGCTTTGAATACATTGCTACGTATTTTCCTTCTTCAGAAAATAAATGGCCAGTATATTAATAACACCCAATTTCTGCCATTTCTGGCTAATGTTACAAGTGTGTCATTTTAAATGAATTTTCACAATACCGTTAATGACAAATGCCCTTCACAATCATCGTTTTTGCCCCTCCTCTGGGCTGTTTCCACACACCATTAACCATCGAAATGGAGTCCGGAAACAGCTGACAGTTTTACAGAGTGAGAGTCTCTTTCGTTTGCACAGTGGGTCATTAGGTAGGTGTGTCTCCAGTGTTACTTAGGCTATGATGTGACATTTAAACTAATGCACACATTGCTAAACTTGTTTAAGCCAATCAGCATCCTGGACCAGGAGTTTCATTCATAAATAGACTAGTTTGATAGCGCTGTTCTGTTGCCACCAGCCTCTGCTGAATAAGACCAGGGCTCACAACAACTCAGCAGCAGCTGATCATGGAGGCCTTCTCTTCGTTCAAAACACAGCACCTCTATAAGAGGATTCAAGCAATCACAGTTTTAAACTCAATTAAACTGATAATCAATACAGGATTACTCTTAAACGTAAGAAACGGCAGCAGGCTGTGTAACTGTTTAGGATTTGGATTTGCAGTCTGATGGGTCAGGTCTTAAAGCTGACCAGGAAAAGTGGTGAGTGGATGGATGGATGGATGGATGGTTTCTAGCAATAGGCTGACGCATTGTGATTCTGTGTGTAGGATGCCAAGGTGCGGGAACTGCTGGACATGGGGAATGTGGTCGGGCGGATAGAAAGCAAAATGCTGACGGTGGTGTGCGGCCCAGACATGGTGAACATCACCTACATGAACTTCATGGCCTTCCAGGAGGAGGTCGCCAAGGTAACGCCTGTTCAACCATTAATCGTGGTGTTATCCTGCAGTTTCTTTATTCTTTTCTTTCAATCTTTTTGTTTTCTTTTTTTTAACATTGAGTTTTCATTTACTGCAATGGGGAGTAACCAAAAATCAAACGTGATACTGAATTTGAGTGATGATATTGCAGATTGATTTCCTTGGTATGTCTGTGGTATGTTTAAACATGCTTATTGTGTTAATTACTGTAACACTATAACACTAAAGTTATAGTGTTTTTTTAAGTGGGAAAGGATCACATTGAAGTCACTGATGTCAGTGAATCAATATTATTGCACATTAGAATTGCTCATTTATTGTTGTATTGGGATATTTAAGATAATTGATATTTATGTTATTAATGATAGTCTGCACATCACGTTGGTGACTCTGTATTTTTGATTTTGCCAGTTTCAATGTTAAGACTGTAGTTTTGTAAAGTGCATGTCAGACTTAAGCGTACTTTAGGACAGACACATCAAGCAGAATAAAAAATGAGATGCTTCCCAGACTTCAGATAGCCGGCCGCCATTGTCTGTGACTTTCCTAGTGGACCAGGCGTATTTTTCTGTCCCCTGTGCCTTTAATCCAGGAGTGGGCAGATGAGCTGTTTGATCTGGCGTCCAACCTGCTAGCCCAGAACATGCCCAGGGAGTCGTGCCTGGAGAAAGTGTAAGCAGCCGTGACGCCGGTGTGACCGCTTCCGCTCCGCGGCTCCCCACATCACACTGACAGCCATGGCTGCTTTTATTTTTTACCTTTTCATACTACCGGCCAGCAACAGGGAAAAGGGCAGATGTGCTCACAGCTTCCTCGGTAATTCAGTCTGTCCGCTGAGATAGAATCTATCCAGGGGTTTAAGCAGTGCTGAGTCAGGCTGGATTTGCAGGGTGTAGGTTAAGGGCTATTTTGGGGCCCTGTGGTGTCTGGAGGATTTTAGGCCCTTAATTTCCTCTTTCCTCAAATCGTTTGCACCGTATCAGGTCCTCAAGTTCCCCTCAAACAAAACTGTACCCCTCAGGTTCTGGGTTTCATTGTCTTCCTACAACAGCAGTAACCTGAGCAGGGACTCATATGGGTCACTTTATTTAGACCGGAGTACACAATCATAGGGCCCTTGAATTGACTGCAATGTCCTCGTATTAAAGCATCACATTTTTCCTCTGGTTTCGTCAGAATGTTCTGTCGTGAATGAGCTGCGCAGATCCGCAGCCGCTCCCCACTAGTGTCCCGGACCAGCCCACCTGCTGTAGTCACATGACACTGGCCTCTGAATATTTTCTTTAATGTGTCTGAGCTCCTGCCCAAAAGACCCTGTACAGGGGGCATATCCCCGTGGGACGGAGCACACAAGCCTGCCCCCTCTGAGCTTTTTATGCCACCCATGTGCTACTAGCAGACCAAAGCATTCACTGCAGCTGCTTTTTAAATTCAGATCAGTTCTTCCGGCCTTGCTAAAGCACCTCATCCCTCGTTCAGAGTGGCCCTTCTCCCAGTCACATGGACATTCCCATTCCTGCATGAATATACACAAAGCAATGACAGGTCGCTTCTCTCCATGATGAATGACAGCCTTCTGGTGTTGAACGTAACAGAGGAATGGACGTAAGCAAAACATTTAAAAATAAAAACGCTTGTTCCCTGTCCTTCACTGGGTTAGCTGCAATCTGGGTCTAAGGTGGCCCCTTAAACGAATAAACTGCACCTTATAATACAACATTTACAAACACTACATAACGTAACATAACTGCATTGGGCTGCACAGTAACCTTTCTGAGTAGGAAATGAACTGAACTGTCTGTCAGTAAATTAAATTAAAGCAGCAAAGCAGTCTTTGTTCTGCTGATCTGCCGTACTTAAACATTAGCGCTGAGACTCTGCTCTAAGGAGCTGTCCAGTGGGGGCACTCTCCTGTACGTTATGAATTATTTCATTTAGTAGCTAACTGCAATCTCGCATAGCGGTGGTTATTTTTAGTCTGCCTGCCATATCTGTTGAAACATTGCGGCCAGATATAAAATGAAAGGAAAAGGAAATGGGACCTGATATCCGGAAACGCACCCCACCCAGACACCCGTGCACACAGACTTAATGTTAGGGCTGTGAACTCTGAATGCTTGCCTGATAAATGAAAGTTTCCTGTTTAACAGAAGAGTTTGAAGCATCCTGCGCCCATCATCTGCTGTTTCTAACAGGTACATGAGGCTGAAACTGCAGCTGAACCCCGAGGGCCGCATTCCTGTCAAGAAGTAAGTCGTGAGTCACTTACTGAGATTGACCTCCAAAGTGCTGCCTGGTGGACCAGTGGCCACCAGCTCAATTCCCTCCCCTGCTCTCGGACAGCACAGGAGAGGGGGGGGGGCGAACTGTCCCAGCTTAGTGTCAGTTACCTGACTGGCTTTTATCGATGTCCAGGCTCCTCTCAAAATGAAGAAACGCAAATATGTAGCATGGGAGCATAAAACCTGTACTTTATATGAGGGTAGTTTGAAAGGTAAAAAGCATTACTTATGTGTATATATACAGTATGTAGGCCTATATATATATATATGTATATGTATGTGTGTGTATATATATATATATATATATATGTGTGTGTATATATATAAATATGTAGCATGGGAGCATAAAACCTGTACTTTATATG